AAGAGACCCCATTATCTTGGAGAGGAGGAAAACAACAACAACAACTACATTATGTGGCTTTCTCTGTGCTTTCCTTCAGTTAAACATTTCCCTATGTTCAAAAGAAGTAAGAACCTAGTCCCTTTAGGGAATAATGTTATATTGTTCAGTCTGGGTGAATAAATTAGGAACAGCAGGGAGAGACAAAATGACTCTATGTGCATCTACTTTCTATTTCTTTTTTCTTTTGCATTATTTTTTTCCATTTATTTTTATTATGCAAAACAGAAAAAGAGACACAGATGTGCATCTACTTTCAAAGGAACTTAGTCTTTTAACTCAGCACCCTCACTGCACACAGAAACCAGAACCCAGAAATCAGGTTACCTGGCTAGGTCAGGGTCACAAAACCCAGGTGGTGGCAGATCTAAGAATAGACCCTGAGTGCCCAACATCCGGGTTTGAGGAAGTCAGCCTTGCCATGAGCAGGAGAGGCTACCAGGGTTGCATGGCCTGGAGGGAGGGAAGATTCTAGGTTCACAAACTGCAGAGGAGAAGGACGACTCACAGAGATAACTGACACCTGGATTCTACAAAGCATCTCGGTGAGGAAGGGAATGATCATGGCAGAAGAGAAAGATAGAAAAAGGAAAAATACTAATTGTATGACAACGATTCAGTTTACTTCATTCGTGAGGGGCTGTGTTATGTGCAGATTAACAAGAAACAGTGAAGAAAAGCATAAAATAAGCTATTTGAGCTAGGCGTTCATCATAAAGAAAGGTTTTCTTCCTGTATATTTCTCACTTCAGTGGGAATATATTGTATTACACTTAAGTGTTTCTCACTTTGGTTCTTGAAAGCCTTTTTCAGAGACACTTTGGATATTTCTTACAATGCAGACACTGGGCTCTCCTTCGAATTACTGAACCAGAATCTCTGAGGCTCTCACTCAGAAATCTGAATTGTGAACAAGCTTCCTATAAACACTGACATTTTAGAACCAGTTCAGTTCAGTTCAGTTCAGTCAATCAGTCATATCTGATTCTTTGCGACCCCATGGATTGAAGCACGCCAGGCTTCCTTGTCCATCACCAACTTGCGAAGTATAATCAAATACATGGCCATCAGTCGGTAATGCCATCCAACCATCTCATCCTCTGTCATTCCCTTCCCCTCCCACCTTCAATTTTTTCCAGCATCAGGGTCTTCTCAAATGAGTCAGTTCTTCATAACAGGTGGCCCAAGTATTGCAGCTTCAGCATCAGTCCTTCCAGTGAAAATATTTAGGACTGATCTCCTTTAGTATGGACTGGTTGGATCTCCTTGCAGTCCAAGGGACTCTCAAGAGTCTTCTCCAACACCACAGTTCAAAAGCATCAATTCTTCAGCACTCAGCTTTCTTCATAGTCCAACTCTCACATCCATACATGACTAATGGAAAAACCATGGCTTTGACTAGATGGACCTTTGTTGGCAAAGTAATGTCTCTGCCTTTTAATATGCTGTCTAGGTTGATCACAGCTTTTCTTTCAAGGAGCAAGCGTCTTTTAATTTCATGGCGGCAATCACCATCTGCAGTGATTTTGGAGCCCCCCAAAATAGTCTGTCACTGTTTCCATTGTTTCCCCATCTATTTGCCATGAGGTGATGGGACCAGATGCCATGATCTTAGTTTTCTGAATGTTGAGTTTTAAGCCAACTTTTTCACTTTCCTCTTTCACTTTCATCAAGAGGCTCTTTAGTTCTTCTATGCTTTCTGCCATAAAGTGTGTTGTTACCTGCATATCTGAGGTTATTGATATTTCTCCTGGCAATCTTGATTTCAGCTTGTGCTTCATTCAGTCCAGCATTTCTCATGATATACTCTGCATATAAATTAAATAAGCATGGAGACAATATGCAGCCTAGACATACTCCTTTTCCTATTTGGAATCAGTTTGTTGTTCCATGTCCAGTTCTAACTGTTGCTTCTTGACCTGCATGCAGATTTCTCAGGAGACAGGTCAGGTGGTCTTGTATTCACATCTCTTGAAAAATTTTCCACAGTTTGTTGTGATCCACACAGTCAAAGGCTTTGGTGTAGTCAATAAGGCAGAAGTAGATGTTTTTCTCGAACTCTCTTGATTTTTTGATGATCCAATGGATGTTGGCAATTTGATCTCTGGTTCCTTTACCTTTTCTAAATCCAGCTTGAACATCTGAAAGCTCACAGTTCACGTACTATTGAAGCCTGGCTTGGAAAATTTTTAGCATTATTTTGCTGGCATGTGAAATGAGTGCAATTGTGTGGCAGTTTGAGCATTCTTTGGCACTGGCTTTCTTTGGGATTGGAATGAAAACTCACCTTTTCTAGTCCTGTGGCCACTGATGAGTTTTCCAAATCTGCTGGCATATTGAGTGCAGCATTTTCCCAGCATCACCTTTTAGGATTTGAAATACCTAAACTGGAATTTCATCACCTCCACCAGCTTTGTTCGTAGTGATGCTCCCTAAGGTCCACTTGACTTAGCATTCCAGAATGTCTGACTCTAGGTGAGTGATCACACCATCGTGAAGATCTTTTTTGAATAGTTTTTCTGTGTATTCTTGCCACCTCTTCTTAATATCTTCTGCTTCTGTTAGGTCCAGACCATTTTTGTCCTTTATTGTGCCCATCTTTGCATGAAATGTTCTCTTGATATCTCTAATTTTCTTGAAGAAATCTCTAGTCTTTCCCATTCTATTGTTTTCCTCTATTTCTTTGCAATGATCTCTGAGGAAGGCTTTCTTATCTCTCCTTGCTATTTTTTGGAACTCTGCATTCAAATGGGTATATCTTTCCTTTTCTTCTTTGCCTTTAGCGTCTCTTCTTTTCTCAGCTATTTGTAAGGCCTCCTCAGACAATTATTTTGCCTTTTTGCATTTCTTTTTCTGGGGATGGTCTTGATCACCGCCTCCTGTACAATGTCATGAACCTCCGTCCATAGTTCATCAGGCACTCTATCAGATGTAGTCCCTTAAAAATATTTGTCACTTCCACTGTATAATCGAAGGGATTTGATTTAGGTCATACCAGAATGGTCTAGTGATTTTTCCTACTTTCTTCAATTTAAGTCTGAATTTGGCAATAAGGAGTTCATGATCTGAGCCACAGTCAGTTCCTGGTCTTGTTTTTTGCTGACTGTATAGGGCTTCTCCATCTTTGGCTGCAAAGAATATAATCAATGTGATTTCGGTACTGACCATCTGCTGATGTTCATTGTGTAGAGTGTTCTCTTGTGTTGTTGGAAGTGGGTGTTGGCTATGACCAGTGCATTCTCTTGGCAAAACTGTTAGCCTTTGCCCTGCTTCATTCTGTACTCCAAGGCCAAACTTGCCTGTTACTCCAGGTGTTTCTTGACTTCCTACTTTTGCATTCCAGTCCCCTATAATGAAAAGGACATCTTTTTTGGGAGTTGGTTCTAGAAGGTCATGTAGGGTTTCATAGAAGCATCTGACTTCAGCTTGAACCAGCTTCTTTAGAACCAAAACCATTTACAATCCCTTCATCAGAGAATTAGTTGAACTTCATCTGCCCTCCAGGTCTTCCCATGCCTACTTCAGAGAGACTCAGCCCAAGACAGTGAGTGCCCTCCGATCACAGAGGCTCCCAGGCCCTGCCAGGTCTTATCCCCCTGCCAGGCCCAGAAGGACTGACCTGGTTTAATTTGAAGATTCTACATTTTTAGGCTAAAACTGCAAATAAATATTGCTTTGCTAATGAAAAACATTATCAAATTTTTCTGTCATCAGGATGTATTTTTCCCTTCAAAGTCAGGGGAGAAAAAGTTATTAAAAACAAGCAAACAAGAGACAGAGTGACTGACCTTCTGGGCTACACTTCTCTCAATAAGGCCCAAGTCAGGGTACCCCGCCCTACCAGGTTCCCCAACCAAGTGGCACTTATTGGAGTAACAGCCATGAGGTGAGACTACGGGAGGCCTGGACACTGTCCCCCTTCGCCTACAAGCCCAGCTCTTCAGAAGGGACAGAATTTCTGAGGAGCAGGGTGCGTGGCAGGAAATACCAGTGCAGGCAGCATCCGCGTGAAAGTGGCAGCTGGCAGACCTGTGGGCTGGCTGACCCTCTGGGAAGCCTCCAGGCTCCTGCCCAGTCCCTCCAGGTTTTCAACAGAATGTGGCTGAACAGCCAGTTCAGAGGAGACAGAGGAAGCAGCAATGTGTCAGTCTGTGGGTTCCTGTTTAATTCCCCAAACCACAGCATGCCCTCAGGGGCAGAGAGAAAGGATAAGGCAACAGCCTTTCCGCATCCAAATTGCTGAGGCACTTCTCAGAAGACTGTTTTAAGGAACCAGACTGAAAATAGCCAGAGCGGTAATCACTACCTTTGAGCCTGGATTCCCTAAATATAACGAGTGGCACTCAACTCGGGATTATCTCTGCCCACTGAGGAGAAAAATATCAGCAGGAAAGAAAGGCGGTTGTCACACCTCGGGACCTGAGGGTGCCAAGCTGCACCCTCTTGAATCTCTGGGAGGTACACGTAGATCCCCAGAGGAACTTTCATCCAGCAGGTGGCTGCGGTTTTGATGAGGGTCTGCCTGCCTCCTGACTCCATCTGCAGCAACCTTTGGATATCTGGAGTGGCTCCCAGCCTCCTTCCCCTCCATTCCTACCTAATGACAGGACCCTTGTTTATAAAGCCCCCGAGAGTCCTTGACAGTCTCCAGGAAGGCTGTCTTCATGCCAGTAATGACACCGAGGAAAAAGCAGAATACTGCCAGTAACAGCATCTCCAGTGAGGCCAACTTTATGCTAAAATGTATTTTCTCTGTGTATATAAAGATATATATATATATAGAGAGAGAGACATTAACAAGAATTACCTGGTCAATACTGGTGATTCTCATTGATTTTAATTTTAATTCCCTTTACATTTTTTGGCATTTTCCAATTTCTTTTTTAATTATCAAGGTGATTATCTTTTTACAATCATTTAATAAAACATTACCGTAAAAGACATTAACAGCTATAATTTACCTAGATGTGAACATGGCATATGACAGAGAAGGCCATTTATGTTGTGCAGTGTCTAAGGCAGACAAGAAGAAAGTGGTATAGAGTCAGAAACTTCTCTTTCTCTTCTCGGTAGCCCCTTTGTTGCAGCTCATTTGTAAAGTTCTCAGGCTTCTGCCTGCCCATTTCTTGGAGCCCTTGGAGACTGCATATATCTAAAAAAAAGTTCCTAAGTTTAAGCCACAGCTTCAAACTTCCATACTAAACCAAATTTTTATGTGTTATTTTGTTTTCGTCCTCTGTTCTGATACAAATATTAAAACAGGTACTTTTTGAGAAAGTAGCTGGATGGTAATATAAAATTATTAATTTCTGAACAGTTGAGAAGTTGAAGAAAGTTGACCCTTGAACAATGTGGGGGTTAATCTGTGTATATCTTACAGCTGGCCCTCTGTATCTGCAGTTCCTCTCCATCAGCGCATTTGACCAACCTCAGATTGCATAATGCTGTGGTATTTACCATTGAAATATACTGTGTATAAGAGAAATTGTGCGGATCAATCCCACATTTTTCTTTTTTTTTTTCCCAATCCCACATTTTTCAAGGGTCAACTGTATATGGTTTTTATATCATGGAAATGGTGACATTTAAGTATCATTGGGTTTCTTAAAGTTAAAACCAAACTACATACAAGTAATATAATGAACTGAGAATTTCCTGCTCTAGAATAGTATATGAGACCCTTAGTTAAGGTGCTTCATTAGCTTCACCTTCCCCCACTGAAGAGTGTATGGTTTCAAACCCATCAAGAGCTGAGGAAACACCCTTGAACAAGCCTATCGAGGGGTAACAGACACACTCTACTAAAAGCTCTTTTGTTTCTTCTCTTCTACATAATTTCATCGCCTTATACAACCACATAGTATATACATAAAACTATAGTTTGATGAAGTTCAACATATTTGCCAGGATCCATACAGCTCAGAATACTCCCATAGCTGAAGGCTGTGGTCCTCTAAAGGATGATATTAATAAAAGATACTGTTGTTGCCATATGGTAAAAATAAGATGTAGGAGACCCAAGACCATTCAAGGAGACCATTTGCTACTTCCTCTGATGTAACTGCCATGGGATGGAATACATAACAGCTTCAGAACCAGAAGACCTAGGTGTGAAACACAGTCCTGCATTTACATGCTGTCGTAATCTTTCCTATACTGCTTACCTTCTGCCTCCTTGAAATGGGAGTTATTGTGAGGATTTTTAAAAGGATAATGTCTGTGAAAATACTTGAAATTATTGTAGAATACAGCAATTTATCTGAGGAAGAAAAAGAAGCCTCAATTCTGGAGAGCTAAACCCTTGAAAACCTCATTCACACATATTAGATGACCTGGGGCAGTGGGTGGAGCTGGTATTAGAAGTCAGGCGCGAGAATGAAGAGAAGGAGTTTCTTCAACTTGGCACTCAGGGCCACGGAACACTCCTACGATCTCAGCTGAGTATCAGCTTTCAAGGCAGACTGCCCTTGGGAATTGTCAGCGAGAGTCCCGCCATCAGTCAGGAGAGAGAAAGTCTGGCCAAAGGTGTGTGCTCAGTCTCTATCATGCCTGACTCTTTGGGACCCCATGAACTGCAGCCTGCCAGGCTCCTCTGTTCATGGGACTCTTCAGGCAAGAATACTGGAGTGGGTTGCCATTTCCTCCTCCAAGGGATCTTCCTGACCCAAGGATTGAACCCATATCTCCTGCATTGGCAGGCAGGTTCTTTTACCACCGAATTACTCGGGAAGCTTCAGCCAGAGGGCTCCCTCTATCATGGGAAGTCTTTGCCACATGACTGTCAATACCCAGCAGTGCTGAACAGAGTGGGCGGCAGGGGCAGACCCAGAAAGCAATGCTCAGCCAGGGGCCTGCTGGGGCTCTGGACCAGTCCAGTGTGCCCCATCGGGTGCTGACGGAACATCTTCTTTCTGCTGTACTTTCTGAGCAAGGTGGCCCTGCCCAGGAGGAGAGCCACCTAGTCACTAAAGGGAGACACTCGGCTTATGACAATCCATTGCTAAATCTGCAGCACTACTTCTTTCAGAGATAAACAAGGCTATGAAGCGCATGTGAGTGCTGTGTGGGTCATGGTCATCCAAATCTTTCGAGATCAGACAGGACACTGTTTCTCCATTTGTGTTCTGAGAGCATTAATCCTATGAAATGCTCTGGACAGTCTTCCTGCTATCACATTTTAAACATATTTACTACATTCTTCGGCTAGAACATGAAAAGGCCCTGAAAAATCTTGAAGTTAAAAAAATCTAACTTTATTTAACCAACTTCTTTTAACAGGCAACATTATCTGGCAGTTAAGAATGGGAGGTATGGGTGTCTACAGCCAGGCTTTGAACCATATGTTCCTCCACTCTCCAGCTGTATGAGCGTGGGCAAGTTAATCTCTCTGGCTCAGTTTCCATGCCTGTGAAATGGGATAATATATCTTCCTCACGGTGTTTTTCATGAAAATGAAATGAGCTAAAAAGAACAGATCACTGAGAATAGGGTCTAGAATACAGAAAGCACTGAATAAATATTAGCTATTATAATTTCCATGCTTATTATATGATGATTAATTGTTTTCTATGACACTTACTTATATCCTAAGCAACTTGTATCCCATGGGATAGGGAAACAGAATAGGTAAAATCACTTGTAGCACAAAAAGTCTAGCAGAAGAATCAGAGTTTCAGTCTCCAATGTCGACTTCCCCTTCCTGTTTTTCATTTATAAAAATAAGACCATTGGACTAGTTGATCCTTCCAGCTATGAATAGTCCAAGATTCTGAAAAAGAGGCACAGAACCATTAAACCCAATGGCCCCTACCCAATCCTGGATCCAATCTGGGTACTCTACCGTTCTATCTTCCAGAGACCTTGTTCAGATTTTAAGCTGCCATGGCAAGACTTCAGGTTGAGGGACCAGTTGCTGCTCTGCAAGATGAATGTGGAAACTGCATTCTGACACCTCCCTGCAGAGCTCCGAAACACTCAGCAGGGAATCAAACTGAGCAGTTACAGTGGCAGCAGCTGCCACCTACCTGTTCCACAGTCACTTCAGCCCCCCTCATCCTCGGTTTCTGCCCCAAAGTATCACTCCAATTTTTCTCCTCTTGTGCTCTCCAGGGCCCAGAAGGCACCTGGAACTGTCCACTGGTCATCTACTCTGCTTATCTCAGATATTGCATGCTCCACCCAAGGGCTGAACTCTTCTTCTTTCTCATTTGTACAGAGCTCCAGGCTGTAACTTCAGATACCCATCTGTACTCTTGCTGACGCATCTCAAATTTGGACCTTACCTCTAGAGTCCACCCTGTCCCGGCAGGGGAAAAGCTGCTGCTTCTTCCCCGAGGGTGTCCTATCCATGCCTCTGCTTTCTCCTAGTTCAGTCTTTTGGAATTTTCTGGAATGTCAAATGGCTACACTGCATTGAATTTTACTTGTGAATCCATTCACCCATCTCTAGCAAGCCAACCAATATTTATTGAATGCTTCCAACATACAAGCAAACTTCTAAGTTCTGTTGATGCAATACTGAGCCGAAACATTCTCCCTGTTCCCATTCGACACATATTTTAGTAGAGGAAAAAAGACAAGCAAACAAAATGAAAAAGCATGCTAAATAGTGAAAAGGGCCATGAAGAAAATAAAACAAGGTGAGGTTATATAATAAAAGTGACGAGGAAAGGGAAATTCAGTGGGCGGCTGGGGTGGGGTTAGGTTGGGTCTCTAGTGGGAGGGGACAGATGAGTTCAGTTCAGTCACTCAGTTGTGTCCAACTCTTTGAGACCCCATGGACTGCAGCATGCCAAATTTCTCTGTTCATCACCAATTCCCAGAGTTTACTCAAACTCATATCCATTGAGTCAGTGATGCCATCCAACCATCTCATCCTCTGTCATCCTGTTCTCCTCCTGCCCTCAATCTTTCCCAGCATCAGGGTCTTTCCTAGTGAGTCAGTTCTACAGGTGTCCAAAGTACTGGAGTTTCACCTTCAGCATCAGTCCTTTCAAAGAACATTCAGGACTGATTTTCTTTAGGATAGACTAGTTGGATCTCCTTGCAGTCCAAGGGACTCTCAAGAGTCTTCTCCAACACCACAGTTCAAAAGCATCAATTCTTCAGCGCTCAGCTTTCTTTATGGTCCAACTCTCACATCCATACATGGAAAAGCACAGCATTAACTAGACAGACCTTTGTCAGCAAAGTAATGTCTCTGCTTTTTAATATGCCATCAAGGTTGATCATAGCTTTTCTTCCAAGGAGCTAGCGTCTTTTAATTTCATGGCTGCAGTCACCATCTGCAGTGACTTTGGAGCCCCCCAAAAATAAAGTCTCTCACTGCTTCCATTGTTTCCTCATCTATTTGCCATGAAGTGATGGGACCGGATGCCATGATCTTAGTTTTCTGAATGCTGAGTTTTAAGCCAACTTTTTCACTCTCCTCTTTCACTTTCATCAAGAGGTTCTTTACTTCTTTGCTTTCTGCCATAAGGGTGGTGTCATCTGCAAAGCTGAGGTTATTGATATTTTTCCCAGCAATCTTGATTCCAGCTTGTGCTTCATCCAGCCTGGCATTTTGCATGATGTACCCTCCATATAAGTTAAATTAAGGAGGGTGACAATATGCAGCCTTGACTTATTGCTTTCCCAATTTTAAACCAGTCTCTTGTTCCATGTCCAGTTCTACCTGTGGCTTCTTGACCTGCATACAGATCTCTCAGGAGGCAGATGAGGTGGTCTGGTATTCCCATCTCTTGAAAAATTTTCCACAGTTTGTTGTGATCTACATAGTCAAAGGCTTTAGCACAGTCAATATAGCAGTAGATGTTGTTCTGGAACTCTCTTGCTTTATCAGTGATCTAACGGATGTTGGCAGTTTGATCTCTGGTTCCTCTGCCTTTTCTAAATCTAGCTTGAACTTCTGGAAGTTCACAGTTCACGTACTGTTGGAGCCTGGCTTGGAGAATTTTAAGCATTACTTTGCTAGCGTGTGAGATGAGTGCAATTGTGGCAGTTTGAGCATTCTTTGGCATTGGCTTTCTTTGGGATTGGAATGAAAACTGACCTTTTCCAGTCCTGTGGCCACTGCTGAGTATTCCAAATTTGCTGGCATACTGAGTGCAGCACTTTCACATTATCATCTTTTAGGATTTGAAATAGCTCAAC